GGAGTCCCAGACTGTTTCTAGAAGCAAAACATGTGATGAATGATGTTTCCTGCCCATTCTCCCTAACCAGATGCCGTCAGCACTGTCCAATAGAACCTTCCACAGTCATAGAAATGTTTTATATCAGTGCTGTCTACATACAGTGGCCACTAGCCACATGTAGCAATTTAGTCCTTAAAGTATGGCTGATGTGAGGAACTAAACTTCCAGTTTTATTTAACATTAATTTAAATTTAAATAGCCACATGTGCCAAGTAGCTGCTATACGGGACAGTACAGCTCTGGATCCTCTCTTCAAACAGACAAAAGTGACCACCCATGGAACAAGCACTCTAGTTTTTCCACAGTGAAACTCCAGCTCTGAAGAAATGCTGTGACTTTAATTTTTCTTTTAATTTTAATTAAAAAGTCTCTGCTGCTCTTTCCATTCCAGTTAAACTTCAGGACCTGTACCCTAATAATAAAGCCTTCTACAGAGAAAAAACCTGGATGGAGATTTTCCAAGAAAATGCTTGTCCAGGAGCCCTGAGATTCTGATGAGGCTTTTTTATTCCTCTGTCCATCTTTCACCCAAATATAGGCACTTGTACATACCTTCTCTAGGGAGAAAATGTATAAGTGTGAGAGACTTTAAAAAATGCCACTGAACAAACAGTAACTAAGAATTATGTGGTCAACAGATTTTTTTCCTGCCCATTCCCTAAGTCTGGGAGCAGAGGATTGTGCCCCAGGAAATGTCTTTTAGAGAAACCAGGGAACCTGCTATCATCAATCCTTTATTGAGTAATTCTGGTATTTCATGGCTGTAAGTAGTTCTGGCATTCAGAGTTGTATTTTTGGTTTCCTTCTGGTGATGAAAGGACCCCACATCAGCTCAGCTTTTTTTTTTTTCTTTTTTTTTTTATTTCGGCATATTATGGGGGTACAGATTTTAAGGTTTCAATAAATGCCCATTCCCCCCCAGCTCAGCTTTTTATTCTATTTATGCCAAGAGAAAAAACTCCAGAGAACCAAATGAAAAGGAAGACACATCAGCTTCTAAAGAATTAACATATTTATTTTACATAGTTTTACCGTACACATCTCATGCCAACACACAGGAGGCATATACAAACAAACGCACCAGCTTCTGCTTTCCAAAGTCACATGGCAATAAATAAGGATGGGTGGGTCCTTTTTTTTTTTTTTCATTTTTCTTTTTTTTCCAGGAAACGAGACTTCATTTCTTTTCAACTGTACAAAATTTACACTGCGAAGGATGAGGGCAGCAATCCAGAGCTTAGGGGATCTGGGGCTTTGAGGTCTGGATGCAAGCTCAGAGCAACTTCTAGAATCCTGCAGCCCTGAACCTGCTTGGCTGGCTGAACACAGTCCTCAAGTGGGAAAGTACAATGTGGTTCTTGTCTCTAGGTGGGCAACAGATGAGAGTGGGGGTGTCCGTCCTCTGTTCACCTCCCTAAGCCAGGGAATGCTTGCTGCGCCTCCCAAACCTGCAGCTGTCTCCTCACCAGAGCTAGCAGCATGAAACTGTGCTTTTAATGTGGTCCTACCAAGCAGAGTGTGGATGGGATGACTTGGCTGAGCTCTCTCTTTTTGGCTCCAGTCACCGTTTCAGAGCAGTTGGAGCAACTACTGCAAAAAGGGCCAATGGACCAATCCAAGAAAGAGAGAGCCAGTGATGTGCTTTTTACTCAGCTTTCAGCATGCCCAGAGCCCTTCAGCAGCAGGCCATAAAACAAAACTCATTTCCGCTTAATTGAATTTTTCTTCATCTCACGGTTTCCAATTTTTAAAGTGCAATGTTTTAAAAAAATGAGCCTCCTCAGGACTTCCAGACCCTGCTGGTCGGGGAAGTATGGTCATTATTTTCATGGCGATAACCAGGTTGTCAGTCATGGCGTATGGGAGGAGCCGTGTGGAAGGACAGGTGCCAGAGAGGGGACCGTCATGGAACATGGCTTTTGCTAATCAGAAGCCTTGAAGGCTCCCAGCGAGGAGGGAGTTCAAAATAACCAGCTTGAGCTTCAGAGATGGGAATGTCTTTTGTTCTACAGATTTCTTATACTTCCTTAAGTGTACATCATTAAGTGAACATAATAATGAAGATCTAACAGCCCCCAATTATCTTATTAGGTTTCATGTTTTACACGGGGGAAAATAACTTTTAAGGACACTGCCAAATGCTTTTCTTACGTCGTAATTTTTTCTCTTTCCCTGGTGTTTCACTGTATTAATTTGCAGGAACAATGTTATCAATATGGTAGTTGATTTTCATTTTACATTATCTTCTTAACTATCAGATGAGGCAAGAAAGAAAAAGCCTGAAAGGAATTTGCCTGAGGTTGCATAGCAAGTCCTCTAAGGGCGAGAACCAAGCTTCCCAACGTGATCTACCCACTGGGCCAGCTTCGCCCTTAAGTTTGGTATTGCCTCCATGGTTTTATTACTTTTCAGCCAATATAGATTCCTCCATATGCCCTCAGTTCCCATTTTTGTTTATACCAACTGCCATGGGGACTTGAGGTTTTTTAATTAATTTGCTTCTGGATTCCGAAGCTTCCTACTCTAAAGTCTATTGCCAGGCACTGCAGATAACGGTTGCTAGTTAATTGCTCTTTTAGAACCAAAGACAGGTCCAAATATGGTAAATGTATCTAAAAGGTCTCATTTCACTTTTAAAATTCATCCGTGTCATTTTAGCAAGGGGTAACAGCTGCCATGTAGCCATGTAGCACCTCATCCCCCGTGGGAGACTTCTGAGCAATAGAGGAGTGCCTCTAAGAGAATCTACAGATAACGTCCTGCTCTTCTCCATCTTCTAACCACAGAAGAGCTAATGAACATTCTTGGCATGCAGTGGCTCATTAGTAGCCCATCCATAATGCTAACCTGCCTCGCAGGGAGATCTACTTAAAATCTGAGACCTATTGCGGCTGTGCTTCTAAATGGCACCAGTGTTTGCTGCTTCTGGGGAGGTGGCCCTGGGAATGGGGAGTGACTCTGAGGAACTTAAATAAAGCTCTCCTCGCTTTCTCAAGAGTTTTGCCAGTTAGCCAGCCCCACTGAGAACAAATAACTGTTGGCCAACGTCAACTGTTCAGTGAGTTCCTCCAGAGACTTGTTGAATGAGGAAGGCCTCCCCTTCTTCCGCCGTTGAGCTGGGAGTATGATTAACTTACAAAACCAAAAATTGGTCAACTTACATTGATCCTAAACAGTGCTACAAAGAAGGACGCTCCCTTCTTTAGAGCCTGCTCTCCCCATACTATAGTCACCAAAAATATGAAGTGCCTTTGAAATCCCATGAGTCGCTAAGCCAGATAGTCTGGGTAGGACAGCTCGGCAACTGGGCCACTGCCCAGCAGAGCCTTTCTCCTGTGTGTTGGGAGCAGCCCGCTAAGAATGGTGGATATAAGAAGCTGTCCAAAAAGACAGCTGCATTTGCCTTTCCTCCACGTGGTTTATTATCTTGCATTTGTGCCTCCCGATATTCGCAATATTGGGAAATTCCCAACGACACCGAGTTGGGTCGGGTGGACACTCCATCGTCTACTAACACGGGCCCTCAAGAAAAGAGTCCTCATTTGCAGACTCCCCAAGCAAAAATCACAACAATTGCAGCACACCAATAAACAAGGGTGCACTACCAAATTGATCAGAGAAAAGGTGGCCTAAAGGCTGATCCAGGAGTTTATTGACTATATAATTTAAAGAAGTTTAATTAATCTTAGTTTAGTCCTGGAAAGGAGCTTAAAAAAAAAAAAAGCTGCCAAGGAGGAACTATTCATTTCTTCCTTCAGTTGGCCTACAACACGCCTACAACTTTGCAGTCCTCAAAAGGTGACCAAAGAAGGACCACAGAAGGAAGGGTCCTTAGGGTCTGTGGCCCCATCACTTCACATGAAAGAAAGACAATGACTTTTCACCCTTTCCTATGCTGCTAATCTCATTTAAGAGAATGGGAGGCCGGAAGAAGCAAACCAGGTTTCCCAAGGGGGTGGGAATAAATTCCAGCTGGCTAAATTCCAGTTAGCACATGGAGAGCTTCCTAATAGCCAGACGGGTGCATAAGGTGGGAATTGCAGCACCATCCCTGACAGTGCTCCCCACAGAACTGTCAGCTCCTAATGCCAGGATCAGCCTTGCCCCTGCCTCAGGGTTAGTGACGTGGTCTTGCAAACATGCAAGAGTACCTGCAAACATGCAGGGAGTACCTGCCCCACCGCTGGCCAAGTCCCACCAGCAATCCCGGGAGATGCAGCCCAAGGAAGACTTGGAACCCTTTGGATAATTTTAGGGCTGCTCCCTAAATTATTCCTCCCAACCAAGATAGACCAAAGAAAAAACATTGCTAGCTCCTAGAAGCAACGAAGACTCCTCCAACTGAGTCCGCTTGCATTTGAGTCAGAGAAAGCTTGCATTTTAAGGGGGCAGGACCAGCGGTAGACTTGCAAGCTCATCCAAACCAACTCCCTCAAAACAGACTCTCCAAATATTTCACCCTACAAGGATGGAGGACTCCAGGAGACTGGCAGCTGCTGATGTGGCTAAACAGATTGCACGCTTGGAATCCAAATGTGTCTACAAATGTTTGCGCTGATTGTCATTCTGTTCTCCATATTTTAGCTTTGATCATTTTGTAACCCACAGCCTGCCTTATGGAAGAAATGATATGAGCAACTTAACAAGGCACACTGTGCACCAAGGGGACTCATCAGGCAGTCTGTGACGGTGGTCCAGGGCCACTCGGCTCCAGCCTCAGGGTCACCTGCGATGAAAACCACCTCTTGCCATCAGGGATTCAGCGATATAAATGGGATTTCCTAAAAACCAAAACTGAAGAATAGTCTCTGGTTTGTAGGAAAGAAGTCATATTTTCAATAGCAAAAAAAAGGGGGGGGGGCAGGGACATGTTTTTAATATCAAACTGTGGTCATCAACATTTTTACTGACCTTTAATAGCTGATCTTTCTATTTTGAAAATTAGGGTTCAATAAGGGTGGTCCAAAAATCACTTTTATTGTACCCAAGGCCCGTGACACCTCTACCTTAGGAGTGTCGGTTCCGGTGACAACGGTGGTTTGGGAGGCATTGCGTGAGACGCACCAGCATGAGACGCACCAGTTGGAGCAGAGTCCCCAAGGCCCCGGGGGCCTGTCACAGTCACCTCGTGCTACCAAAGCACTGAGCAGCCAAAGCCTCTAAGCAGGGCAGGAGGGGAGACAGCCAGCAAGCCAGCATCCCTAGAGCTCCGGGCTGCGCACCCTGCGCCGCGTTCTGGGATAAGGCTGCTCTCCCACCCCAAGAAAACAGCGCCCTAGCGTGGTCTCGCAGCCTTCTAGGACTCGGCGGAGGACTTCCATTGAAAATAATGGAAATTCACAGTGGCGCTCTTTTGATCCTTAAAAGGCAAGTCTCTTTTGATCCTTGAAGATATTCTCTCAAGCCAGGAGGACAGGCAGGGTGGGGAGGAGAGACGTTTAAAAAGGAGGATGATCCATTTCATCGAGCCAAGAGGCTGGGCTAGTTGGAAAGTCGGGGTAGCCTACACTGCTCCCCGTGGAGATGTCAGAGGTGGGTCCCCCGGCCATGGCTCTCAGCGTCTGGCTCACTCCCTGCCCTGCATGCGCGATGATGCCCAGATTACTGTCCACCGCGTAATCCAGCCCATTGAGCAAGGGAGCGTGGGATGGCAAGGACGATATGGAGGATGGAGACTGGGGGATCCCATAGGGGCTCCCATCCCTCAAGTCCTGATAGGGTTGTCCTGTCCCGTCCATGGAGAAGCTCCCATTCATTAACTGTCCGCCTGTAACGTCCCCCACGTTGCCATAAATCCTATTGGTGTGGCCAAGTTCTGAGAGAATTTGATCCTCTGTGGACAAAAGAACGGAGATTTATTGTCAGCTGCCAGGACTCCGGTGGTCCCCTGCTCTTCACAACCTTGGAACACACATGACCAGGAAAGGAGCCCGGGAGGCAGTTGCCTGGCCCAGCGTGGGTCAGACACCAAACATGGCAGCCTGACACCCAGAGGCCAACCCGGGTCAAGGGGGAAAGCAAGAAACACCTGTGGAGACTAAATTCCCAGGTCCCAGAAGGCTGAACGAATGCTTGGAGAGCTTGTTGGTCCCATGGGGCTGGTGTACTAAGACACTCTGGCTACACTGAGGAGTCAGAATGCCCAAGGTCTGGGGGGGTCGTGTGTTATCAACGTCACAAAAGGAAGCTCTGTGCTGATAAGATTTACTCTGAAAGCTCTCAAGATGACAAAAGGCTGGGTTTAGTTGGTTGGGAAGCTAGCGGCAGCTGAGGACCACTCTTAGACATGTGTACAAAATCATTCTGGTCTACCTGGAAAAGAGGGTCGATATCAAAGGACTCGGTTTCCCTTTCTGTTCAATATGCTCTTCACTAGGGCCAAAGAATTGATTTGATTAAGGCAAATGGACCTTCCTCTTCCTTGAAAAATTTCATTAAAGGGATCTAATGGAATCTTTGCCACTTGAAAGAATCCATCTCTCCAACAGAGGGGAGCAGCTTAGATCTTAAGAAATAAAGGGTGATATAATTACCCAGAGAGACCAATGGCATGTCACCCCAGGCACCCACCGGCACCCAACAGAAATGAGCTGCCAAACAAGACTTCACAATGTTTCTGTGTGTTCCAGGCATGACTTTCAACAGCTCAGGTGAGATCAGGGGCCTTCTCAAGAGAGGCCTGGATGTGAACGTCAGGCCCAGGAGCCCTCCCGGGGCCTGCACAGGCCATGTGTTCTGCAGGGAGGTGACCGCCAGGGCTCAGCAGACCTCCGGGCCGAGCTACAGCCCCCTCAGGGTGCCATGCTCCTGGCAGGCAACTTGTTCCCTGCTCTATCCCACAGACCACTTTTACTATTTCCACTGGGACCTCTGCATCAATTCCTATATAGCGCCTCCCCACAGCAGACTTCAACACCCATCCCTCTGCGGCCTGTCCCGTACCGCCCATAAAAATGAAAAAGGGGGGCGGGGAGCTCACGCCCTTTAAAGGTTCCAGGAAGATGAAGGCTCAGCTCCACTGTAGAGTGGCCGTGATTTGGCCTTGTGCCTGTACCTGTCATCCACATGCCGCCTGTGGGGACAGCCATGCCCTCCACGTATACAAATGTGCTCACTGTTCCCCGAGCACATCCACTGACACCCATCAACACCGGGGGTGGGCGAAGCTGAGGAGCTCCTCGTGGGGAGACTGGGGCTCAACAGAAGGGGGTACTGAGGCTCCAGAGAAGCGAGCCCATTTGACAGAGCCACACTGGACACCAGGTTTCTGGTCCCCAGTTCAGCACACTTGGCTTCCTCCCAACCGAAGACCTTCCGCATTTGAGGACTCAGTTACTGAGAACAATTATGGTTATTTGCAAACAACCCGAGGACTGACAGCATGCAGTGATTGCAATGTTGCTGGTGCGCAGGTTTGGATGTAGCACATGCTGCAAAGCTTGTGTGCGGGGGACAGGACGGGTGAGTGGCGGGAAAGGGATTTCAGAAATGAAGCCTGTTGCCCGTCTCACATGCACTCACTCGCAGCACTGACTTCCCAGGAAAGGGCCTGTCGAGCTCGGCTCCCCAGAGGAAGGGGACCGTGGGAGCTGGGCCAGTGTCCCTATAGAGGGGAGGTTGGCCGGGGAGGGGCTATGTGGGCTGGGGAGGGAGCCCCAGTCAGCAGAGAAGAAGGGGAGGCCTCGGGCCACAGGACGGGCCTGGCAGGGCCCGAGCACCCAGCTTCCGAGTCTCAGCAACTGTGCTCTGTTGTTTTCTACTCCTTGTCCCATCATGAAGAGCCACTAACATTTCCCCCACCCTTCACTGTGAGTCGGGGAAAGCCTGTGTTCAGGAGGGAGTTGCCAAGGCCTTGGGAAAGATCCTCCCAGTGTCCAGGATCACTGTGTCCCGGGGGATTGTCCTAAGGCCTCGGGCTCGCCCCTCCAGGCTGCTCACCTCGGAAGCTCAGCTCACTGTCACTAACCCCACAGTCCTCCGCGGAGCTCTCCTTCTCCTGCTTGCTGCCGCCCCGGCTGCGCTTCACGCTCTTGTAGAACTGCCCCCAGCGGTGCCGCCCCGCGTCCTTCTTCAGCCGCTTCTCCTTGGCCCTTCTGTTCTGGAACCACACCTGCCACACGAGCACAAGGGACACGCTCGGGGGGTGTCCACCCTGAGCCCAAAGCCCCCAGGACGCCCAAGGCACGGTGTGGAAACAGACTGGAGCCTCGCTAGGGTGCAGGGCCGGGAGTGTGAGGGCCCGCTGCTCCCCTGCCCGGGCCCGAGGGCTCTGTCTCCAGTCCTGGCACGACACCGAGGAGGTCACGGCCCCAAGCCCAAGTCCCCAGGGGAGCAGTGACACCACTCATGAGGTGACGTCACTCGTGCTCCCTGAGTCTCCTGCAGGCAGTGGGCACAGACACAGGGGCCGGCTCAGGACACCCTCCGTCCTGGCCCAGGCGGGGGCCCCAGAGGCACAGGTGGCCGGCGTCTCACCTGCACCACCCGCATGTCCAGGCCTGTCTCGGAGGAGAGCTGCTCCCTGACGTGCCGCGCGGGCTTGGGCGAGTTCTTGTACGCGTTCTTCAGCGTCTCCAGCTGCTTCGCGGTGATGGTGGTGCGGGGCCGCTTGGCTCCGGCCTCTGAGTCGTCTGCAACGGAAACCACTTCTTACTGGGCCTCCTCCCTGGGCCTCCTCCCTGTGTTCCCCGCCTCGGCTTGGCCGCTCCAGGCAGGGCGGTGGGAGGCAAGGGGCGCAGCACAGCGGACAGGACTTCCCGAGTCACTGAAAGGCGAGGACCACCGCCCCCATCCCTCCCTCTGCTCCTGGCCTCCTCCGGCCTCCCCCGCCCTCCGCCAGCCTGGCCCAGCGGCAGGGAGGCCCTTCCTCAGACCGGATGTGGGCCCCACCTGTCATCTGAGCAGCGCTTATAAACTGTGGCTCAGAGCCCACTGGTGGGTTGCAAAGTCAATTCGGTGGATTAAATGAAAAGAGGAAATAGGAACAGAACAGAACAGATGCGGGCTAGCACCGTTTCATGCAAGTTTAGATTTCACTGCGTGAATGTGTGTGCTGAGCTGCAATGCACAATGACTTTCTTACTACAGAACCCAGTCAACATTTTCTGGAAAACTCTGGTCTGAGTTTCGGGGCGACACACTGACTGATGAACCCCAAGTCTTCGGTGGGTTTGGAACCAGCCTCAATTTCCTGTTAGTGAAAGGCTGGCCCATCCCACTCAGAGCCAGGCCCAGAGACAGCCCCATGAGTGTGTTCAGCAGCCCACAGTGAAGTGCAAAAGGTCTGTTTCCTCCCCCGCACTTGGATGTACCCCAGCCCCCAGCCCCCTGGAGCCAACCAGAACAGGGCGCCCTCAGCCTCTGTGCGTCCTCACATGAGTCCTTTAAAGTGTCTCTGCTACGTTCCTGCCTTCCTCCTTCCTTTCCATTCAAGAAAACCCTCCCTTAGGGACCAAAATAATAGGCAACACTTATTAGCACCTGCTGTGTGCTGGTGTTGACTAAGAACTTGGCCTGCATTCGGTCCTCCCTGGAGTCAGAAGGCCTGGGTTCAACATTCTTATTGTCACTGTTGTTGAATGAGTGACTCAGGCAAGTCACCTCTCCCCTCAGAAGTCTGGGGGGCAACACCACCTCCCCTGCCCATGGGGAGCACGAGAGGAATGAGATGCACACGAGGGGGGTGGGAAGCCCAGAGTCCTCTCCTCTCCCCAGGCTGTTTTCTCCTCCTGCAGAGCCACTGTCCTCCCAGAACCCCTGTCACCCAGCTCCTTCCCTTGGAGTCCCAGACCCAGGAGGAGGGATTCCAGAGCTCCTGCGCCAGAGACTCTACTGCTGAGATAGTAATTCTAAAAGACTGGGGAAAACCTCCAGAATTCTCTAACGTCTATTATGAGGAGCCAATCCTTCCTGCCTGTATTTTTAGAGTTTACAGCATGAGAATGTTTGATGCAAAAGGGAATTATGCAAATATGAAATACTATCCTTGTAAAATCTGTTTACGGTCTTTACATATCAAATCAGAAATAATGAAACCAACAAAAATGTTTTCATTCTTCGAGAATCACTTAATTTCAAAATAGCGTGGCCTAATACTCTGGTCTCCCTTCAGATCGTATTAATCTTTTGCCTTTTGCAAAATAGCTTGGCTGAGTGAGTTAGAAATTCTTCTCACCACAGCCAGATGGCAGCGCCACTGCGACAGACCCCTGTCGCCCTGGTTTGTGGCCCAGGGGTCCCACACTGTTGCTCACACACACAGGACTTTCCTCTTGCGATTATGAGGACTAATATGCTGTTATTTTAACATTCACTGTTATTATAATTTAAAATCTTTCTTATATCCTATAACAATGTCATCCAAGTATTCATTAAGTAGCGGTGGCAGTGCTCATGCTGAAAAATGTACCCAAAAATCAATAACTTTGGTATGGAAGTTAAATGTGATAAAACGCTAGGAGGAAGGCTAAGCGAGACCATGATACCTGGGCTGTTAATTTAGGAGAGAGCATTCTGCAAGCTGCTAGGATAATGCTGAGAAAATAAAAAGTAGCATTAAGGCAAAGATAAGCTTCACTGGTTATGGATTTATGCGCTCCCAGAATACACCCCCACACACACACTTTTAACATTAATTCCTATGGTCAAATTAGTCTGAAAATATGTTAGTTTTGAATTATGCAGGGTCTCCTAGAACTTGTCCCTGGCATAAAATGCAACCTCATCATATTGAAAATGCAAATATCTGGGGAGATGGAACAAATGAACAAAATCATTCACACTAAGGTGCAAATAGCTGCTATTAGCCCGAAGGAGGGTTCAGAGTAGCAAGGAGGATGAAAACAATGTGAAAAGGCAGCCAAACACAGCAGACAAACTCCCCCACTGCTCTGAGGATCACTGGGTTGCACAGGGCGGAGCAGCCCCTGCCGTGCTGGCAGCTGGAGGTGGCAGCTGGGGGTTGGGGGGTGACACCTAGGAACACTCCAGAACTGTGTGACGTCAGCAACCTCACCTCCTTGTCTGCATTTCTCTTCCCCATTGGTCTCGCTCTGACTTGACATCCTACTTCCCAAGCCTTAATCCTATTTAAACCTCAGGTAACAGCCTCTAGGGCAGGTATTATTACCCCCATACAGCTAAGAAGCCAAGGCTCAGCCAGGTACACAACTTGCCAGGAACCCCCAAGTTCATAGGGACACCCACACAGCTGATACCCAACCCAGTGTCCCACTGGGGGACATTGGGTTGTCTGCTATGGTGCAAATACTCCTCGACAAAATTAGGAGCTCCACAATGTCATTCCTGCCTCCCCAGCCAGAGTATGCCCAGTCTATGTTTGTGTCTCTCTTCTCTTGAACTCTCCACACGCCAGGGGGGCCACGTTGACACTGCCGGGAGTGTAAATGAAGAGAAGCAGCGGTGGTCCGGGAGGGTGTGTGTCTCGTGTCTCTGGTGAAGGGCACCAGGGTTCCAAAGGTGTCTTGGTATCTGAGTGCACCTGCCTTTATGGTTTATCCCTGACAAGACACCCTAATCTTCTGGGACATCGCAATTAACTCCAGAGCAATTGCATGGGGTGAGTTTTAAGGAATCGGAACAGAAGAGAACATAAAGGCAAAGAGCCTTGGAATGTGTTCGAAGAGCCCCCAGGTCTCTGGAGGAAGGAAGTCAAAGGCCTCCGCCACCCTGAAAGGCCAGAGCTGTGGGTGTGGGAGAGGGAGGATGAGAAGAAGAGAGGCAGCCCCTCAGCGGGCACCCTTGGGCCAAAGCCCAGCAGGGGTCCTCCTGGCCCACCCAGAGGCCTCCCCTCCACACCCCTTCTAGAGCACTGTGCTCATCAACCAAAACCTAACTTCTCCGTGTGCTGAGCTGCTCTGTATAACATATGTGCGTGAGCCCAGAAAGGATCTGGAAGGAGATACATAAAATTGTTGTCGCTTAATTTTTTTCTCATCAAGCCCAGAGCCATCAACAAGAGCCGCTTTCCACAGTAACACGCTGTGCTGGGAAAAACTCTAGTCAAAGGCACAGCACCTTGATGCTTTGGGAGCTCGTGCATCTGAGAACACCAGATCAGAGCCAGAGTGTGACACCCCCACCCTGTGGGCCCAGCGGGCAGACTGGGGAAATGAGCCCCGTCGGGGCCAAGGGAGTCCCAGGCTGCCCAAGAGCACGGCGTGGAGGGCGGGAGAGTGTTGGCCCGCGCTGCGCAGGCCAAGGCGGGCTTTCCAGGCGCGGCTGCTGAAGGCCCAGGCCTGGTTCCAGGCTCTGCTGTGCAGTGAGCCCTGGGGCAGCCAGGGACAGTGGCCCGAGGCGGCTGGGGTGAAGGACGGTGACATGGGGTGGGCTGGGTAGGGGGCAGTTACAGTGTTGAGTTGGAGTCCCCCCGGAAGTTGGCCAAGTGTTCTTCCTCTTCCCTGGCACAGTGACTGAGCGCCCGCTTCAGAAACAGCAGGGGCCCCCCGCCCTGGAGAAGCCCCGGTCTGCGACGGAAACAGAACACGGAACTGGAACGCGAGCCACCCAGGGAAGGGGACCGAGGCCGTTCTGGGCTCCCACTGGCTGCAGACGCTGAGACGTGGGGTGCAGGGCAAATGCGCACCCCAAGTGTCCACAGTGGACCAAGCTCCCGCTGCCACTTGGCACCCCCAGCCCAGGCAAGGAGCCCCCAGGATGACGGCGGCAAGGTCCCTGGAGAGCTTGCCAGTGGTGGGGCGGCAGCGAGCTCCCGGCAAGCACCGGGGCATTCGCGCCTGCGCAAGGCGGCAGGTGGTCGGCGACCGGCGGTCGGCGACCGGCGTGTTCAGAATTCTCTCTCAGGTAGCGACCTGGGAACGCTTCTACGGCAGGCGGTGGGAGCAGGGGTCTGGGGGCCGGCATGGGGGCGCGGGGACAGGACGCCCCGGGCAGAAGCACGGCCTGAGCAAGGCCCGGAGGAGGGGGGGCGGGCCGCGCGGTTACCGTTCTGCTTGGCCGTCTCGTAGTCCTCCTTGCACACCAGCCGCCCGTCCTCCATGAGGTAGAACTCGTCCCCCGTGGCCAGCTGCCGGCTGCAGATGATGCAGGCGAAGCAGTGCAGGTGGTAGACGAAGTCCTGGGCCTTGCGCACCACCTGGGTCGGGGGGATGCCCTGCTGGCAGGCCGTGCATTTTGTGCCAAAGCGCCTGTCGGGGCAGCAGAAAGGGGTTAGGGCACAGGGGGAGGGGAGGCCTGGGCCCCCCTCCATCTCCTGGAGCAGCCCCTGTCCCACCCCACGACTCCGGCATCCACAAGCCTCACCCCAGGCCACCCAGAGCTCCCCCCTCTGGTCCTGTCTGTCTCCATCTAGCTTCATCCCTCTGTGCCCGGGTCGCCAAGCTCACACGAAGGGGCTGAGCAGAGCTAGAGTCTCTGGTGTCTCTGACAGCCCCGGGCTTGGATTGCCTGGTCCACACCCACCAACCATGGGGCAGTGGAGGCGTTCCTAAGTTCCTCCAGAGCTTGCTGTCTGGCCCTCTGGCCTGGCTTCCGCACCTTTATGGTGACTCCTAGAGGACCATACTCCCAGGAAACCGTGTGTGCCCACAGGCTGCTTGTACAAAGCTCCCAGCGACACCTCTTCCCCTACCCCCGCAGGAGAAGGCCCCGGGTGGCCGGGGACAGCACGTGCCAGTGTCCACGCTGGCGCTCCAGAGAAAGCGCACCCTGTCAGCAGAGTGGGGCTCTCCTGACAGCTTCTCTCTCCTGTCCTCCCTAGATCTCCCCTCCCCTCCATTCGGCACACACGGAATCCCTCAGTGGCAGCCTCCGTCCCCTTCCCAGACACAGCCCCTGGGGAGCAGTGTCCAGGGAGGGCCCGGAAATCTGCCCTTCCCAGCCCCTGCAACACTCCAGGGCAAGGAGCCTGCGGATCTCAGTTTGAAAAACGCTGCCTCAGACCCTTCCCTGGTCTACACCTTCCTGGCACAGCCCCAAGGCAAGAGGAAGCCATCGGCGGCCACCTGTGCCAAGGCTGGGAAGGAAGGAGAAATAGACACACTAAAAGTATAGTCTAGCAGGGTCGTTGAAGCCCCTTGCCCCATTCTGGCCACAGAGACAGACAGAGGCACGTCAGCAGCCGTGGAAGGCGGGAGGGAAACTGAGGCCCGGCGCGGACGCGGGCGGTGCAGGAGGGCGCATTGCTGCAGGTGCGCCTTCCCCACTTCGGGAGGGAGCGGGAGGCGGTGGGGAAGCAGGGGCAGAGTTTAAAACAGCAATCAACCTAATTATTCATGACATTTCACACAGCAGAACTTTATCTTCTTCAGGATGAAAGACTTCGCCTAATGGATCTGGGGAAGGTTTGATTTTAATGGTCCTTTTAACTAATGCTTATAGGCAGCCTGATTTCCCCTGAAAGGACAGTACATATTTCATCCACATTAATACCAAATAAATTAATTATGGTCATGGCTATCATGATGAATCCCAGATTAATGCAGAATGATGGGTCTCTTATGCAGTAACGATACCTGCGGAGGGGCTGCGGGGCCGGAACGGGCATGGCCAGCTGCGGCTTCAGAAGCCCCCGCCAGGGACATGGTGTCCCAAAGAGAAGGGGGGGCTTTAAGTCTACACAGGTAACCCCAAAGGAGCCAGGAGCGTGGTCCCGGGGTCTCCTCTTCTGAGATGGGTACGAAAAGAGTGTCGGGTGTGAGGGGCTGGGACGGGGCAGCTTGGGAGGACCTCAGACTTCTGAACTCCTGGAGTGCCCCTTGGCGTTCGGGCCTGGGGTGCAGGCCTTGGAAACCACCCCCAAGTTGTTCAAAATTGTGCCTCGGGACGGGGCCTGAGCTCTCCTCAGATTTTCAAAGGGACCCAGGACCCAGAAAAGCAGAGTTAATATTTGTTGAATAAATAAGTCGATGCGTCAGGAACCGTGTGCTCAGAGGACGTGCCCAGAGACGGCTAAATCTGAGGACGGGGAACAAGTACACGGTCCGCTCTGGGGGCTTCTGTACCTTCCAGAACACAGGCTTCCCGCACAGCGCCCGTGTTACAGAGGAAGGCTTCCCTCTGTGTGTGGGGGGCGGGGCGGGGGTGGGGTGGCGACAAAGAGAAAGGAAGCCCGCATGCGTGTTACTAGCCGAAAGCCACCCAGATCTGGACAGCGTGTCCTAAGCCTTCGCTGAATATGCTGGGGCAGAAGTGGCTCCAGAGAAGAACTGGAGTTGCCCGGAGAGCAAAGCCTGCCTTGGTGGCCAGAACAGCGGGGCAGCGATGGGAGGAGAGGAGGGCGGCGGGGACCAGCACCGCGGGGAGCCCCTGCCCGGCCTCGCCCGGCCACTGCAGGCAGACGGCGGCCTCCACTAACCAGAAGCCCAGTTGACACCAGCGCACCAGAGACATGAAAGATAACGGGGGTATAAATTTAATCTCCATACCGACAGTGATTCATGCATGAGAGTGGCAAGTGCACAAGAAAAATGAAAAATAAATGGACTTCCCCACCAGCGTTTTTTAGCAATTGAAGCAATTTTCCTGATTGTGGGACTTATGCCGATGGGAAGTGGACGTTGCCCCCCCTTACCTTGTTCCCCTGGAGCACAGCCAGCAGGACCCCCACCGAGGGAGCCTCCTGCACCCGCTAGGCCCACAGGGCTCCCCGACCTGGCCCAGTCCCCAGGGGCCACCACAACCCTATTTCCAGTCTAAGCCGATGGACCTGGACTGAGGTGCCATCCGGCTGTGTGTGTGTGTGTGTGTGTGTGTGTGTGTGTGTACGTGATGGAGACATTGTCCCCTTGTCCAGATTTTAGGCCAGCCCGAGTCACAGATGACAGGGCCAAGGCCATGGTTAAAATTCCCCGGCCCCACACGAGGAAGGACCATGAACTCAGCTGCTACACTGAGAACCAATAGTCTAACCCACCTCACCAAATCTGGAGGCTGCCGGGGGGTGGGGCGGGACACCGGCACCCTTAGTCCCCTTAGCCCCGCCCACCTGGGCACCACGTGGCCTGGCCTTGTCTGCAGAAAGACCATCCCTCCGCTTGGTCAGCCCAGCCAGGCCTCCAGGGATGCCCAGTCTCCCCCCCGGGAAAAGCAGCTGGAACTGCCCCAAACCACAAGGGAACACAGGGGAGGACTCGAGAGTGGCTCACATCCTCCTCCTCCTCTGGCCAGCACCTCCAGAACGTCTCTCACTCTGCCCAGCACGCGTCAGGCAAGCTGCAAAGACCCGGTGAGTGAATGAATGAATGAATGAATGAATGAACTGCTCCTGGAAACGTGTGTCTGCGTGGCCAGGGAAGGACTGGCTCTCAACAGCAAAAGCTTTTAAGAAGGGCTTGAATGACAGGTGAAAGGGGCCTTCGGGTCACCAAAATATGAAACTCTCCGTCCCACCTGCTGTCATCATCACACCCGTTCCACAAATGACCCTGGGGAGCCCAGCCTGAAAGGTGAGTATTACAGTACCTTATTTGACAATGAGGGCCAAGGCCCCAAGGGGGACCGAGGCAGGGGCCGATCACCACTCCCACGGGCAGGGGACACACGCAGTGGGCGTGAAGCCATTGCCATGGGCAGCAGACACTGCCTCGGTGCCCCTAGCCTGGTCTGTTACACGTGCCCAGCTGCTCTGAGCCCCTGAGCGTGACACTCGGCCGTGCCACGGGGTCCCCACAGGTGCGGCCACCCCAGCACGCGGGCAGGCTCCCTGCCTTCCGCGCTCCTACCACCAGCTCAAGGGTGGGGCGGGAAGTGCTGGGACATCGCAGCCCACTCTCGGGGGCCACCTGCTCTCACCCTCTGCTCCAGTGCTCGGCTGAGCTCGCATCTCTGCCCATCTGTCCACCCTGCTGCCTTCGACAGGCCTGGCTGCGCCACTCGCAGGTGCAGGGACCGACTTGAGGAAGCCTGGGCCTTGTAGGAAGAGGGCCACAGCTGGTCCTTGCAGGCACCAGGCCTTCCAGAACCAGGGACACATAAACCCTACACCCTGGCTGTCTGACACACTCCTGATGGTAGGTTTTGTCCCAGGATCACAGCCACGCAAGGTACCGCATTTTAGTCACCGTGACACTACTAACAAAGGCAGCTCCCACTCAACAAGCACCTACTGTGTGTCACGCACAGAGTGGGTCTCATGCTGCACATACCATCTCCCTCAGTCCTCCCGCCAGGCCTTCGGCCCAGAGCCCCACCACCCGCCCTGTGGCCATCACTGCCACCCCAGCACCACCCACTCAGGCTCACAGCTTCCCAAAGCCCTGCCGTAGTCTTGGTAGCTTGGTACCTGCATAGACCGTCCTCCTGCCCCCCTTGAACCTTTGACCTCCCTTCCTGAGGTCACAGCCCCCACCCTTCGTCAGCAGCTTGCTGCCCCAACCTTGTTGTTACCAGTAACTGCGACAGCTCCAGAGACAACTTCCAATCACGCCTTGCTGGCCACCACCCTGTCCTTCCAGAGAGCTCCCCCAGTCCCCTGACTCCAATGACACAGAGACTTCCCCTTCACTGCGCTTGTCACGGTCCCCCAGCCCCTCCTCGCTTGCTAACCCCTCCCCCACACACCCTCCATGCACCTGCTGCACCCCGTGCAGGGCCGCACGGGGCTGAGGAGAGCACCCGGCCGGACGGCCTGCGTCTCAGATCATGGCCACGTCGTTCTTCTAGTGGCTCGGGCCAGATGCTCTGGACACCCCGATCTGATCTGTCGGCAAACCCTGTAGCCTCTACCCCAAATGGTACCAGGTGTGGGGCCCCTTCCCGCAGCCGAATAGCCGCCTCCCTAGCTCAGGCCGCCCTGGCCCCGCAGCGGGCCGAGTCCCGCCCTCCCAGGCCAGCGGCTCCCGTCTCACTCGGGTTCAAAGCCACTCTCCCTTTAACAGCCTAGGAGACACCCACCATTTGGAAGGTCACCTGCTTGCTCTCATCCCTCCCTCTGCCCCTGCTCACTCCACCCAGCCACCCACCCGGCCCCAGGGCCCAAGCGCTGCCTCCTCTGCTGGCAACACCCCCTGCACCTCACCCCTGCATGGCCCCCTCCTGCGCTCCCTGCAGGGCTCCCCTCAAGTGTCACCACCCCAGGGGCATCCCTTGCCCCCCCAGCACTTCCTGTCCCCTCTGCAGAGCGCACATCCCAATAGACATGCTGTGCAGCTGTTGTGCGTTCGCTGTCTTTCCTGCCTCTAGAAGCTTC